ATGATGGCGATCTCACAGGAGTTGCTTGAGAAACCAAAGCGGTCTCATTTATGCTGCTACTTTCTCCTCTTCAGAACAAAAACAAATCTGTTTGAGATCATTACATGTGTTTCTACTGTAGGTTTATGTGATAGTTCTATGGACTCATTATTTCTTAACTCATTTAACTGTGATGTTGAGAATAAAGACACAGTTCTTGTTGGAAACATAGTTATTAAATTGTATTAATCACAAACAGCAAAACAAAAAGTGGTAAATATCTGAGGCAAACATGAACAATTTATAAGTGCAGGAGGAATGGAACAGACGCGATAACCTACGATTCTAACAAAGACAGGTACAGTGCAAAACAAACGACTGCACAGTTTATAAGTTATATATAAGTTAGATATGCAACAGAACTCTAGTCCATAGTCTCCTGTATATCAGGCTCTGAGCCCAAACTGCTTTTCCTTTGAAGCACAAAGCTCTCTGCTCCATAGCGCCTCGTCCATGCTCCTGCTGCAGCCGCTCCGTGCTTCCTTCCAATACACACACACGGACCAATCACAGCGGAGCTTCCTTGCGGCGACCCTTACATAGTTAGAACATTTCGATGCTGCGCGGCAGGCGACGTAAGGGCCTTGCGGTGACCAACACGTTGCTCAAGTGACGTCACGTCACCTCCGTAAGCTCCGCACCGCGCGAGTATACACTAGGCTTTAGCTTAACGCTAAATTCCAGATGTTGTTGATGCTGAGGGGAGTCTAGTTTTTTGGGACCAGTCTAGTTTAGCCGCTGTGGTCTTCAGAATGCACTCTTTAAATGAATGGGGCTAGTGCAGCTAACGCCTGTGCAATAGCGTTGTTTCACATTTTCTTGCCTCGCGGCCATTTTGAAAAAGCATTAGTTTGAAAGTTGGAGATGGGCGTGACTACGTTCATTACTATTTACAGTCTATGGTAAAAACGACCCAGCAACTAAGAGCCAATCAGGAGCGCCGCTTGTCTGTCTCCACTCAAGCTACTTCTACTGATTGTATATCCAAATGTCCCTGAACAACTGGCCAAAGACAATATCCATCCATCCATCCATTTTCTTCCCTTTAATCCATTTCTGGGTCAGGGGGGTGGCAGTCAGAGATGCCACCCAAGTCTCATAGCACCAGCCCCTCACTGACCCTCTGCAGGTGGTGAGTCCACAGGAGGACGGCTGCTCTGAGTGTGAGCATAGCCTTGATCTTTCAGTGGGGGCTTTGGGCAAAGTCCAAACAGACCTGTAAGCAGCTGCAGTACATCCAAAATGCAGCAGCTAGAGTCCTGACAGGAACCAGGAAGTATGACCATATTAGTCCGGTCCTCAGGTCTCTGCACTGGCTTCCTGTGGCTCAAAGAATAGATTTTAAAACGGCTCTGCTTGTGTACAAGTCTCTCCATGGCCTTGCACCAGAATACATTAGTGACATGTTGGTGTCATATGAACCGGCCCGGACTCTGAGGAGCACAGGGACTGGCCTCCTGCTGGTGCCCAGAGTGAGAACCAAACATGGGGAGGCTGCGTTTCAGATCCATGCAGCTAAGATCTGGAACAATCTCCCTGAAAATGTGAGGGAGGCGTCTACTCTGTCAATGTTCAAATCCAGGTTAAAGACTGTTCTGTTTGCCTGTGCATATAACTGAAGGATTTTATCTCCATTTTTAATGCACTGCTGTCATTTATTTATTTTTTTAAATTTCTTGTGTAATTTTGAAAGTTTTAATGGTTTTATTCTTTTGTGTGATTTTAATGTTTTAATTGTGTTTTAATCTTTTGTGTGATTTTAATGTTTTAATTGTGATTCTGGTGTTTGTTTTATGTGATGATTTGTGATGTGGACTGTGAAGCGCTTTGTGTTGCCCTGTGTATGAAAGGCGCTCTACAAATAAACTTTGATTGATTGAAAGTGGGGTTAAGTGTCTTGCCCAAGGACATAACGGCAGCAGTCATCAGCGGGAGTTGGTGGAGAAGGTGTAGAGGTGGGAATTGAACCCACGACCTTCAGGCCTTAAGGCCAATGCTCTACCAACTGAGCTACTGTTGCCAAAGACAATATCAAAACGAAATCACGATTTTCTAAGTCAAAAATGATGAAGGTGGAAAACCTGTGTGGAGCTAAGGGATTTTTTTTTTTTTGAATAAAGTTAATCATCTGAAAGTAGATGAGACAAGAGCGTAAATGGATTTGAGCTCAAACCACTTGGACTGGAAGAACGACGACCAAAAGAGTGGGCTGAGCGTGAGGCCAACAGTTAATGGATGGCGGTTGGATGTCCGTGAAAATACTGTCAGGCATTGAACCAGTCGGTGGCTCTAAAAAGTTTGGGGATCTCTGGCTTAAGGTGTTCAGGTGTTTGCATAAGACAAAGATTGTAAAGTAACCGTAAGTAAATGTAAATTACTTGTGTATGTTGAGGAAGGCTTTGAAATGAGAAGGCGAAACTTTATAAATGCTCATCGATAATGCTTTCTGGCTGAGACTGGCCCAGACATTCACCCCAATCAGTCTTTCACACCACAGATCAAGTGACGCCTCGTTTAACTGTTGCTTCATATTGGCCAAAGCAATCTCTGAAGATGATTGGAAAGAACTGTGAGAATGGTGACATGGTAACAATAAAATAAAAGTAAAAGCCACAAATGCACAGGTCAGAGAAACAGAACACAAAGACCTTCATTTTGACCCAGAAGCTTAACATCCGCTTCGTTTATGAGCAAAACGCCAACATTTCCCTGGGCTCGCAACGCTTTAGAAGTGTGAGGATTTACTGAGTTTTTGCCTCATACAAAATGAAATCTGCTAAAAAGCTTTATAATCCACAAATAACATCTCAAAAGGTCAAAGTAATTTTATTTTTGGAAGAACTGGGGGGAGGGAAACTTAGTATGATTTCAAGCTTGCAATAAATTCTGAATAAGATGATTTTCTTTTAATGATAGAGCTGCAAACTACTCAAACAAACAATACACAGTGTGTCTGAAGCGTTTAACAATAAAGTCCTGCTTATCTCTGTGTAAGATATTTTGTGAAGACTGGAGTTAAGCAAAATGTGTGTTATAATAGTAATTACTGTCATAACTTATAAATGCCAAATTTGATCATAACAGCTCTTGTCTGGTCTTACCATACCATTGTACTCATTTCATTTCGTACAAAGGTCCATTGACTCCGTTAACAGGTGGGAGGGGTTAAGTCCTTTTGCAGATTGAAACGATTGGATCTGAGTTTACCGTGATGTATGTAATAAGCCTGAGTGAGTGAGGCATTTAGTCTAGCTCTAGCATTTAGCCTAGCTTTAGCATTTAGCCTAGCTTTAGCCATCTCCTTTGCCACTAACAAATCCCGTGGGGAGTAGAGCCAGCCGGTTTCAACCAGAACAGAAAACTTTACGATCACATTCGCCGCCATTGCCAAACTAAAACCAGCAAATGCGGCGCAAACTCTCGACGTCACCGACACCGACCTACAACACCCGCCTCCCCCGCTCTCTGATTGGTCGGAGGGGATTCAACCGAGGAAACTGCAGCCACTAGGATCAGACCTAGACGCAGATGTAGGAGATGACCATGGACCAGAGTTTACAGATGGATAAGGCGTGGCTACCGCAGTTCCACATATAGACACATACGGTACTTGCTTTAGGTTGATGTGAAAACCAGAGAGCTTAGAGGATATTTAATAATAAACAAGATATCACTGCGCCTCAATTACCTAATATACACATTTGAATTCTTCCTAATCTCCTTCAAATCAGAAATGCACTTTTCCCAACGCATATGAAAGCTTACTCCCACACAGCCACATGTTGTATTAAAGTCAGAGAGAGATAGTCTGTGGAGGCTGGATGTGCAGCTGCTGCTATCAGAGCAAGCTGTCATCCCGGCTCCAAACGCCCTTACTACATGGTGTTATCCAGACGAAAAACCCTGCCAAAAATACTACACGGCATTCACATCCCAAAAATAAAAACAATACAGTGACGAGTTTTAATCAAGGGGGAAAAAACTGATTTGAAAGACTTATTTACACATACTACCATCTTCTGGGATTCATTTATGTGGAGAGAAATGTATTTAAAGGCTGGGTCAGATGGTAAGATTTGGAAATTGAAGGCAGATCTTCCAAACTGACCCCACACACACACACAGAGATAACAAGAAGTCACAGGCTAAACGGTTCTGCTGCTGCGGCGCGCGGTGTGCAGCCAAACGGCAAAATCAACACATCGCACAACAGTCGATTTCTCGCAAACATTCCAAGGTTGGACAAGAAATCTCAGGAAGCTTCTTGTGAACAAACGTGATTTCAGTGTCAATAAACTGGACAGAAAGTTTGTAGTTTTTAGTTGTTTTGATCTAAAATGAAGGGGAGACAAGTGGTTGAAAGGTCGTGGAGTTGACTCGAGTGTGCTGCCTTATGATCCTGAGTTGTGAGTCCGGAGACTTTAAGATTAATCCTTTTTTTGGTCCCACAGTGGGGAAATGTCAGTGTTGCATCACCAAACCAGAACAAAAGGAGGTCTTGGGTTTGAATCCTGGTCAGAACAGGGCCTTTCTGAGTGGAGTTTGCATGTTCTCCCTGTGTTTGTGTAGGTTTCCTCTGGGTGCTCCGGTTTCCCCTACCACTAAAAACAAGAACCAGGCTTAAAGTGGGTGACAATGGACAACAATTCACTTTTGGATCATAGTAAGGAGTGGGAGCCATCTTTAAGTTTAGCATTGAGACTATTTTGATTATTATTTCAGTTGTTCTCTCCATTCTACTTTTAGCTTTTCTCAGCAGTGATTTTACAAACAGGATTTAGTATTCAAGTTATTTTCCTTCTGAATCATTATTAACCTCAGTAAAAATAGGTGGGAATATTAATGAGCCATAACATGTAAAAACCATATTGTTGGATGAAGTAGTTGTATAAAGTTATTTTAAAAAGATGGATGTGGTAGATATTACTGCAGATGTGATGTAAGCCACGCAGGGGGTGTACCTGATTGGAATATCTCATGCTGACGTTGCGCTGGTCCTGCCGCGGCACATAACGGTGAATAGGGTCGATGTCTTTGGGACTAATTAGCTCATCCACTGCAATGCACAAAACACACACCCACACAGTCAGACATAGACCACAGAAGGACGGACAGAGACACTACATCCACAAACATGAGTGAACATGAAGGAAATCCATCAATCAGTCATCGTGCATTTTAAAAACAAGTATCAGGTCTATCGCACACACACTATTGCCGGGTTTAAATGTGAAGAAGGAGAATAACAAGAAAATAACAAGGTTGTTTTTTCATGATGCTATACATTGGCTCACTAACAATAAATAAGCCAGTGTTTTTCCAAGACATAATTGGCAGTTTAATGAAGTATATGATCAGCATTTATTGAATAAAGAGGCCAGTTACCCAGTAGTTTGGCAATGTTATAAAGTGCTTGACCCCAGAGGAAGACCTTTCCATCTCGTCCACAGTTGCTAGGGAAACGCTTCTGGCTTCCATGTTTGCTTTGCTCTGCCTCCACAAAGTCTGCGGGGACATAGTAGTACTTGGGAATGATAGCATGGCCTGAGAAGAGAAAAAAACAATGGACTTTATTTACAGGTAGTTGCTTTACAAATAAATAACTTCACTGTTCACAGAAAACTTAAACTTAATCTGCATTTTTGTCTCAAAGGTGTTGCCTAAAATGTTTCCCAAAGTTAATATTTTATGATCTCAGAGTCTTGGGGAGGGCTGTGTAGCACTCTGAGCATCAACATCTGGAGAGCGGCCCCGGGCGCTGCACTGAAGCCACTGGGGCTCCAGACAGAGGCTTTGGAAGAACGGGTCAAATGAAAAGGACACATTTCTCTACAGAAATCACTACATATGAACTCAGTAATCCATTTTAATGATTAATACAATCATACATACAATTCTATGCTTATTGTGCTTAAAAATAAGAATAATCTCCTCCATGTATTACCAAGAGAGTGTTGCAAAGTAGAAATAGATTGTAATTGGGATTTTCTAAAATCCAGCAAAACATATTATTTCTATTAAATTCAACCCATCTGTTTATATTGAGTGCATGTATTTAAGTCAAACTGCAGACAGAACAACTGAGACCTCTCAAGTCTTCCAGAGTAAAGCTCAGACCTCTCAAACTCCTCCTGAAGAAAAGTACAGGTTTTGAAACACATGTTTGTTGACTATTATTTTATAAAGGAGTGCAGCCTGAGGAGTCCAATCTCACCGGAAACCTCAGACCCCTTAACAGGATTAATCCGGAGAAAGGCAACACCTTCGCAGACACCTCTGCAGAACCAGTTCAGTCCGAGTCTCTCATCACTTTCAACAGACTAGTTGTTAACCTCTGCACTACAGTTGGTTCTTTTACAGTCAGAACTAGTGGAAAAAATTCTCTCCACAGCAGCTCACGGCAGACCTGGTAAAGGCAAATGTGCAGAACGCCTCATGGGGGTTTTGTTAATTCACTCCAGTCCGTATCCAGTGGAAACGCAGTGTGGATCACATCATTAGCCTCTTCTCTCCATCTCATCTATAGACAGTATTATCTTCAAGCTGCTGCAACCATTTAATCTTCTCTCCACCCGGTCCAGGTGAGAGGACCGCAACGCAGAAAATGGTTGCGCTCAATCAAATGTAACGCCCCTGTGAGCGGTCACGGTACGGAATCTATGAATATGAATGACTACTGGGCTTAATAACAGACTCAGAACAAGCGCAGAATACTTTAAAAAGGACAAGCAGAGTAGGCGTACATAACTTTCTGGATTGACATTAGTCCTCTGCCTCTGTGGGTTCTATCGCTGCTCACCCTCGTGCAGGTGGACGATGACAGGTTCAAGAAGGTCCTGGTATTCTTTGACTTGGGCTTTGTTCCCCCTGAAGACACCTGCAATACATACACAAATATCTCAGCCTCTGAAGACACCTGCAATACATACACAAATATCTCAACCTCTGAAGACACCTGCAATACATACACAAATATCTCAACCTCTGAAGACACCTGCAATACATACACAAATATCTCGACCTCTGAAGACACCTGCAATACATACACAAATATCTCAGCCTCTGAAGACACCTGCAATACATACACAAATATCTCAACCTCTGAAGACACCTGCAATACATACACAAATATCTCGACCTCTGAAGACACCTGCAATACATACACAAATATCTCGACCTCTGAAGACACCTGCAATACATACACAAATATCTCAACCTCTGAAGACACCTGCAATACATACACAAATATCTCGACCTCTGAAGACACCTGTAATACATACACAAATATCTCGACCTCTGAAGACACCTGCAATACATACACAAATATCTCAACCTCTGAAGACACCTGCAATACATACACAAATATCTCGACCTCTGAAGACACCTGCAATACATACACAAATATCTCGACCTCTGAAGACACCTGCAATACATACACAAATATCTCAACCTCTGAAGACACCTGTAATACATACACAAATATCTCGACCTCTGAAGACACCTGTAATACATACACAAATATCTCGACCTCTGAAGACACCTGCAATACATACACAAATATCTCAACACACACAGCATTAGAATACTGTGAACATGGTTAAAACAAAATCTAAGTTACTCAGCAAAGATTCACAACACAGTCAGATAAGAGATTTTATTGACCTCACACTGGAGAAATTGAATGATATATTTCACGCATGTATTTATTTGTACTTCCTGATATATCACTTTTTTCTTGCTGTTTTTAGAGTATGTCTGTATTTTAATTTGCAGAGACAGAATTCTGCTCTTTTGGCCCAACAGCGGAGATGCAGCTGCGGCAATGAGGCCATTATATGAATGTGGTGTTTTATATGCAAATCACATGGAGTTGAGTTTTTGCTTCTAATAATGTAAACAGACTGTGCAAAGCTGCGTCACACACAGAGTAATGAGAGACTACAGTGGGTTTAACGCATTTCTGCTCATTTAAAAAGCAAAGTTTATGTGTAATATACATGTTTTTCAAAAGATATCAGGCAGGTTTCGTACTTGCTTAACACCCTCCTCACATCCTTAGATTCCGGTTTTAAAAAACGAGACCCTTGGTACACAGACCCTCAGTGCACAGACCCTCAGTGCACAGACCCTCAGTGCACTTAACGACAATTGGACTTCGGTTTAGAAATGGGAAAACTAAACTTTGAAAACGACTCAAATTCACGACTCAACAATTTGTTTGTAAACCAAATTGGGAAATAATATTTTTGTCCAATTTTCACCTTTTCTATTATGGATTAACGAGCCACATGTAGTTGGCTCGTTAATCCTCCCCACCTCTTCCATTTCAAACATCGTGAACAGGCCTGTATCTACTGCTCCTTTCCTTAATCATTCCATATATGTGGGTGGTCCTTGGTTCTTATCACTGGGGACGGACAAGCAGCATCTGGGTCAATGAAAGGAAACTCCATGATGCATTTAACCCAAGGATCTGCAACCTGTGGCTCGGGATCTACCAGTAGCTCGCCAACGGATTTAGAATTCAGCAAATGATCATAAATTAATACTTTTTGAGCCATTGCATTTGTACTATAAGTATTGGGTAATACAGCATTATGGTATATGTTTGTGTTCTCCATGTTTTGTCGTAATTATTAGATAGATTATTAATGCGACTGAAAAAAGGTGTAGCTCTCTGTCTCTTTGTTTGTGTAAAAGTAGCTCTTCGATTGAAAGTTGGAGACCCTTGATTTAACCTCATCGAGCAAGAGGAAAATCTCCAAACCTGGCTGCTCCTGTGCCATATGCCCGTTCGAAAGAGAAGTCTCGTGCTGTATAAAACCCCCATCATCACCTTATGACAAGGAGAAGGGTCATTCTGGTTCCAGGACAGTTTCAGTACTGATCAAACTTCTTAGCCTTAACCTTGTGGAAGTCAAAAAGCCCGTCTTATATCTGGCTGTTCCCATATGTTAAATCTGTTGTATTTCCCGTTCCTTGAAACCCTTTTCAAAGCACCTATAAATCTTCAAAAAACGACAATATGTAACTTCCCATCAAATGCAACAAGTAGTGTTTCTGCCTTTTCCAAGATAACACGGGCGAGGTGACATTACAGCGGCTGTGGCTTCAACAAGACTTACCGTCGATCATCATGTAGATGTAAAATATGGGAAACTCGCATTCGATTCCATCAAAAAGCTGCAAAGAGAAAGAGAGAAGAAGAATTACTGCTTTTCTGTTTCACCAGAGAGGACCAGCTCAAGGACTGTGGCTGAACTATGACGGCAGTGAATACAGAACAGTATTGAGTTTATGCTGAAGTAAAGAGGGCGTAGAAGAGATTCAGTGTCTCAGAAAAAATAACATTGTTGACATGAGCAAACAGTAAATGAGTGACATACGCCTTTCAAATGAAGAATAATGTAAAATACACTTTGAATAATCTGTAGTAAAATGTTCCTGTAAGAGGGTTCCCAATATTAAAGGCCCTGTACCTGAATTTTACAGCCTTGGAATCGTCCAAAATAAATATATAATTCTAAACCATATGCAGCAGTCCAAGCTCTTCACATCTGAAGCATTTTGACACCGCTCAGTTCCGCTGCGAGAGACCAAAATAATCCTAACTGCAACAGATGTAGAACTGTGGATCATTTGTTTACTAAAGAACACAGTGTTAATGCATAAAGTAGAAGGTATGGTCCAATCAAATGAAAAAGCCATAGAAGTGATAATAAAACATGCAGCCGTCAGAGTCACTCAAGAACATCCGACCAAAGTGTACGACTCATTCCAACAGAACCTGCTTCTTATTTACACTTCAGAGGGTCATGTTATTCTGCTCTGGACTGACCTGCTGTGAATACAGAGATAAGAAACATCCTGTATCTAAATATTAAACTAAAAATGGAAAACTTAAAATAAAGAATTGTAGATTATTATTGTTATGAATGATTATTAACTATGAGTAAAGATATCTTAAATATTAGTGGTTACAAATATGACACATACGTTTTAGTTGATTATTTGTAAATGTGTATTGGACATTTGCCTCTCTCACACCCACTGTAGCCAGATCAAGAGTCCTATCTAACATTCAAAACTACTCCCCATACGTACCTCCAAAGCCACCTAGGGCGTCCAACTCAAATTCTCCCACAAAATCCACCCGTCCCTCCTCTAACCCCATAAGTATTCCACCCCCCCCTCCTGCTCATTTAGCCCCCCTCCCCCCTAAATCAGCACCAAGAAACCCTCCACCTCCACTCCCCCCTCGTCCACCACCCAACTCAGCCTGCCCCTCCCCTAACCCATCACCAAAAACCCATCCACCTTCAACCCCTCCCCGTCCAACACCCAAAAGCCACCCACCTCTCCATCCTCCTCCCCCGCCTTCCCCTTCCCCTCTTTTCTCTAAACACTAGGATGCACAGGGTCTCTGCTTCGCAGCCACTGGCAGTCTAGTTAGAGGAGAGACCCGGCTGGGGCCCTGTCATGAAGCCACCTGTGCCATTCCCTTAGTGATAACACAAAGAATACATTACAGAAAAACATCTGAAGTTAATCAGTCTAATCTGGAAAATCTAATTCTTGTTCCGTGTAAGAATCAGCCGACCACAACCTCTGATCCTGAAACTTTTAAACTTGCTACGCTTAATGTCAGATCTCTTTGTAACAAGTCTTTTTTAATCAATAATTTTATTTGTTCTCATAATCTTGATCTTATGTTCATGGCTGAAACATGGCTTGACCAAAATTCAGAAAATGCAGTTTTAATAGAAGCATCACCACCAAATTTCAAATTTGAATCTGAAATACGGGAAAACAAAAAAGGAGGAGGCTTAGCTGCCATTTTTAGAGACCACTTTGTCTCCCATAGAATGTCTCTTGGGAAGTTTTCGTCATTTGAATATGTGTCTTTTAAAATACAACAAAAACAATCTCCTCCAATACTCTTCGTTGTCCTATACAAGCCACCGCAGTCATGTCACAGTTTTATTGATAATTTTACCGAGTTGCTTTCAGTTTTATGCACAGATTTTGATAGTTTAGTTATTACAGGTGATTTTAATATTCATGTGGATAATGCTGATGACAGAAATGCTAAAGAGCTGAGTTCTCTTCTTGAATCTTTTGGTCTCAATCTCTTGTTTCACTAACAAACCACCAGTGGACTCTGCAACTGTACGAAGAAGACACATAAATGAAAATACGGGTGAACTATTTATGGGAATGATAAACTTTGAGAATGCATCGTATTCTACTGTAGATGAACTGTTTAACTCTGTCACCTCTAGTGTTTTGAAAGTTCTGGACACCATCGCTCCTGTGAAGGTTAAAATAGTGAAAAATAAGCAGAAGGCGCCGTGGGCTAAAGCAGACTCGGTCAGGGCACAAAAGAGAGAGTGCCGGAGGGCCGAGCGGAAGTGGCGCAAGTCCAACCTCCAGGTTGATTACAAGATATTCAAAGATAAGTTGTGCGAGTTTAACCAGGTGCTACGTAGTACGAGAGAAAGGTATTTTTCTGAAATGATTGAAGGCTGCAGCAACAATCTGCGTGTTCTGTTTTCAACAGTTAATAGATTAACAAACCCCCCTGTTCAGATGCCATTAGAGCTTACTTCCAAACGTAAATGTAATGAGTTTGCACATTTTTTCAATGACAAGGTTCAAGGCATCAAAAACGCCATTGTCTCCAATCCACAGATAACAATCCAACAGCCAGAAAGGCTCTCTGAGCTAACTTACTTTGCACCTGTAAATGATCAAACTGTCCAAGAGATAATCTCCAGTTTGAGCTCCTCCACATGCAGCCTGGATGTACTACCCACTAGATTTCTAAAGTCTGTTCTGAGCAGTCTGTTACCTTCACTCACACAGATAGTAAACATGTCCCTTGATTCTGGAATATTCCCAAAGGCCCTGAAAACTGCAGTCATCAGGCCCCTGCTAAAAAAGAGCAGTCTGGATGCTACGGTACTTAACAACTATCGTCCCATCTCAAATCTGCCATTTATGGGGAAAGTCCTTGAAAAAGTTGTCTACCTACAGCTTACTAGATTTCTTATAATCAACAACTCATTTGATATGTTTCAGTCCGGCTTTAGACCCCACCACAGCACTGAGACTGCTCTCGTCAAGGTTACAAATGATATCCGGCTGAACACTGACGCAGGCAAAGTCTCAATCCTAATCCTGTTAGATCTAAGTGCTGCCTTTGACACCGTCGACCATGAGATCCTCTTACAGAGACTAGAGGACTGGGTTGGCGTCGCTGGCACCGCCCTAAGTTGGTTTAGGTCTTACCTTGAAGACAGGAAGTACTTTGTGGAGATTGGAAACTGTGTCTCAGATCATATGGCCCTGACCTGTGGAGTCCCACAGGGGTCGATCCTGGGACCTCTTCTGTTCAATCTCTACATGCTGCCGTTAGGTCAGTTAATACGCAGAAACAAAGTTTCCTATCATAACTATGCAGACGACACTCAGATCTATGTCTCACTGACTGCAGGAGAACATGGACCAGTGGACTCACTCCTTCACTGTATCCAACAGATCAGTGAGTGGATGCAAAACAACTTCCTTCAGCTAAACGCAGACAAAACTGAAATGATTGTCTTTGGTCCCCAGAAACAAAGAGAGAGCGTCATCTGTCATCTACAGTCTCTCTCCCTAAAACCTTCAAACAAGGTCAGAAATCTAGGGGTAATACTGGACTCAGACTTAAATTTTAATAGCCACATCAAATCAGTAACATCAGCAGCTTTTTACCATCTAAAAAACATTGCCAGGATCAAAAACATAGTGTCTAAAGCAGACTTGGAGATTCTTATCCATGCATTTGTCTCCAGTAGGTTAGACTACTGCAATGGCCTGCTCACAGGTCTGTCCAAACAGGCTGTAAAACAGCTGCAGTACATTCAAAATGCAGCAGCTCGAGTCCTGACTAGAACCAGGAAGTACGACCACATTAGTCCAGTCCTCAGGTCCAAAATATATTAGTGACATGTTAGTCCCATATGAACCAGCCCGGACTCTGAGGAGCACAGGGACTGGACTCCTGCTGGGACTCTGAGGAGCACAGGGACTGGACTCCTGCTGGGACTCTGAGGAGCACAGGGACTGGACTCCTGTTAGTGCCCAGAGTCAGAACTAAACATGGGGAGGCTGCTTTTCAGATTCATGCTGCTAAAATCTGGAACAATCTTCCTGAAGATGTGAGACAGGCCTCCTCTCTGACAATGTTTAAAACCAGGTTAAAAACGGTGCTGTTTAGCTGTGCATACAACTGAGGGATTTTATATTTTTATCTTTCGTTTTAATGTTCTGTAATTATTTATGATTTTAATGCATCTTGTTCAGCACTTTGAGTTGCCTTGTGTATGAATTGTGCTATACAAATAAACTTGCCTTGCCTTGCCTTGCCATGAGTAATTGGTTAGTAAATGATTACCTTGACATTTATAAATGATTAGTAATCAAACATTATTATCAGTTAAAAAGGACAAAAACATAATTGTAAAAACATCATAACCCATCATGTCATTTACAACATTTACAGCGACTTTAAAAACATTGAAGGAATACATTATATTATTGGATCATACAATTCAGGAATTTTTGATCAAATGTTATGCACAAACTTGAAAACATTGATTTTAGAGATGTACCACGGTGTGTTTTATCTTAGTCTAATAACGATAAAACACTCTCCTCTGGTGTGGCTTTGGCCAGAAAAGGCTTTCGGAGCAAAATAAGGCAACACAAAAGGAAACGAACAGTTAATTATTAGACACGAGAGCAAACAGTTGAACACAGACAATTCCTGGAAGTGTAGCCTTTTCTATGTTCACCCTTTTCACGCTCAATAGAGATCACAAAATACCGCACTACGAGACATGAATTTCTACAACTACAGCTTCGTTCTTATTTTGGCAAAAGGATCAGGTCTGCTCTCTGTGGCCTTGCATGCTGCTCTGAAAAAGATAGTATCTGCTAAGAACAGTTGGAAGAAAGTAGTGGAAGAGAAAGGCTCGGAGAGGGAGCTCAAGCAGTCACCCAGTGCGGCCTGTGCTTTTCGGCCTGTCTTGGCAGTAAACAGGCTGCGATCCCCGGTGTTTTGTGCTCCAGCGGCCGCACTGATTGTTAAAACTGTCGATCACACAGGCTGCTGCACCCCTCACTGGTAAACAGACAGA